TAATAATAATATTATTATTATTATTATTATTATTATTATTATTATCATCATTATTTTTATTATTATTATTATTATTATTATTATTATTATTATTATTATTATTATTATTATTATAAATAATAGAAGAATTACTACAATGAGTTGTTACCAGACTGCCAAAGTATGTCAAAGCCAAATTAAAGCGACTTGAGGTGGAAAGAATTGTATTATACACGATTTAGAAGAAAGAAATGAAAAATGAAACATTGTTGCAGAAGGAAATCTTGGTTCAGCTAGAGAATTTTCACATGCTTAGTAATTTCCTGTTGAATTTTAAAATAAGAGACTCTAGCCAATCTGCTACAAATTTCCTGTCTGATTTCCTTCATTGACCCCTGGTTAATCATTCCATATTAATGTCGGCCATGGCTGAATTCGTTTTGCTTTTCAGTAGATTAACAGTATACAGTGACAATCTGTAAGACAATTTGCATTATGTCGGTGTATTATATACTATCTAATATGGTATTATTTACTATTATTATATTAATTTACTCCATAAGAATATGCACGTCACAATCCTAACAACAATGTTAAATTATATATATAAATCATCAAAGAAAGGTAAATACAGTGTTCGAATAAAGGACATAATAATACATCGTGTAGCATAGCTCTCAACGAATGTAGTCCTGTAATGAAATGAATAAAGAAATTTTGTAATAAAATGCATCTGGCGGGACTCGAACCTGCGATCTCTCGCTTTCAAGGCGAGCGTCATAACCATTAGACCACGGAGGTTTCATGGTTCAACAGATTCAATTACCACCAGATACACTCCATTACACAATAGGTACGGCTAGAAACACATAGTAGCATATAATATAAATCAACATCGCCGTTAATACTGTTAAATTATATATATAAATCATCAAAGAAAGGTAAATGCAGTGTTCGAATAAAGGACATAATAATACATCGTGTAGTAATCTGTATATCATTTTCTACTGTTTGTATCATTTTGATCCAACTCTGCTGAAATTCTGGAGGGTACTGTGGACAATTTCAAATTTCTACGACGCTTGTCAGAAAAACGCGTCAGGTATCGTAACCATCTTATTATTTATCTTGAACATCGTTCTAACAATTCGGCTCCTAAAGGACTACAATTTCATGTCAGGTCTGGTATTCCATTCGCAGATCGTGACTTCCATTCCCGCTGGAATGGCGTCCTTAACAAAAATGCATGTCGATTAAATGAGGTCCTAATTGGCAACTGCCGCAAACTCCTCAAAGACATCGACAACCAAATTCACTTTAGGACTACAAGGCTAAAAAGAGACCTTCCTATATCTGAGTTTCAAAACAAACTCAAGATTATTGCCAAGGAATGCCTTAAGCTTTCCAAGGAACTTTCCCTGAGGAGACAACACAAATCTGGTCGAGACAATATCATTTCAACACAAGTGATCCAACCTTCGCACAATGTTTGGCTTTCACGAAAACCTAGAAGGTTCATTCGGCGCTTTAGTGATAATCCGTGCAACACCACGGATTCAGTTGTTCAAATTAACTGTCATCTTTCCGAAGGAGAAACCAAACTTATATCCCGAGGACTCAAAGTTTGCCCCAAACCGAGGAAGGCTGACCCACAACAACTATCTTTGGATCTGGAAGCTTTCTTCCGACGTTTAAGATGCCGTGAATTTTTCGCCGATTCCGACGGCAACACCACGGATAACACGGGCAATGTTACCAAATTCAAACCTAAAGGTACATGGAATTCCCCTAAGAATCGTTGCCCAGCTTTAGAAACTTTCATTCGGGCCATAGAGGATGTTGAATGCCTTAGTTATATAAATATATCTAAAACACTTGTATGCCGTTCTTACTCTCATGAACTATACTTTTTTCACTTTTGATAACAGTAGAACACCTTATGCTAATCTCTTTAGATGATTTGTAAGATCAATTTGATATTTTCTTCACTTACAAGCTGATGAAGGTTGCAGGAACAACCAAAATATTATGTGAAACTGTTATACATAGTTGTCACTGGTAGGCATGTTTTTAGACCGTTGATTTGGTTTAGAGTAAGAGTTTGCTGTTTGAATTATTAGGCCTATTATATCTTAGAAATAATAATCAGTGTTATTAACATTTTTGTGGCAAGTTTCACACAGTAGGATTGTAGTATATTTCATGCAGCAAACTATGGAATTTCCCCCTTAGCCATCGTTCCAATGACGAGGGTAATGTGGAAAAGGTATAAATACCTAAAATAATATTATTATTATTATTATTATTATTATTATTATTATTATTATTATTATTATAAATAATAGAAGAATTACTACAAGGAGTTGTTACCAGACTGCCAAAGTATGTCAAAGCCAAATTAAAGCGACTTGAGGTGGATAGAATTGTATTATACACGACTTAGAAGAAAGAAATGAAAAATGAAACATTGTGCCAGAAGGAAATCTTGGTTCAGCTAGAGAATTTTCACATGCTTAGTAATTTCCTGTTGAATTTTAAAATAAGAGACTCTAGCCAATCTGCTACAAATTTCCTGTCTGATTTCTTTCATTGACCCCTGGTTAATCATTCCATATTAATGTCGGCCATGGCTGAATTTGTTTTGCTTTTCAGTAGATTAACAGTATACAGTGACAATCTGTAAGACAATTTGCATTATGTCGGTGTATTATATACTATCCAATATGGTATTATTTACTATTATTATATTAATTTACTCCATAAGAATATGCACGTCTCAATCCTAACAACAATGTTAAATTATATATATAAATCATCAAAGAAAGGTAAATACAGTGTTCGAATAAAGGACATAATAATACATCGTGTAGCATAGCTCTCAACGAATGTAGTCCTGTAATGAAATGAATAAAGTAATTTTGTAATAAAATGCATCTGGCGGGTCTCGAAATTGCGACCTCTCGCTTTAAAGGCGAGCGTCATAACCATTAGACCACGGAGGTTTCATGGTTCAATAGATTCAATTACCACCAGATACACTCCATTACACAATAGGTACGGCTAGAAACACATAGTAGCATATAATATAAATCAAGATCGCCGTTAACACTGTTAAATTATATATATAAATCATCAAAGAAAGGTAAATGCAGTGTTCGAATAAAGGACATAATAATACATCGTGTAGTATTTTGCCTTTTAATCTATATATCATTTTCTACTGTTTGTATCATTTTGATCCAACTCTGCTGTAATTCTGGAGGGTACTGTGGACAATTTCAAATTTCTACGACGCTTGTCGGAAAAACGCGTCAGGTATCGTAACCAATCGTAATTTATCTTGAACATCGTTCTAACAATTCGGACTACAATTTCATGTCAGGTCTGGTATTCCATTCGCAGATCGTGACTTCCATTCCCGCTGGAATGGCGTCCTTAACAAAAATGCATGTCGATTAAATGAGGTCCTAATTGGCAACTGCCGCAAACTCATCAAAGACATCGACAACCAAATTCACTTTAGGACTACAAGGCTAAAAAGAGACCTTCCTATATCTGAGTTTCAAAACAAACTCAAGATTATTGCCAATGATTGCCTTAAGCTTTCCAAGGAACTTTCCCTGAGGAGACAACACAAATCTGGTCGAGACAATATCATTTCAACACAAGTGATCCAACCTTCGCACAATGTTTGGCTTTCACGTAAACCTAGAAGGTTCATTCGGCGCTTTAGTGATAATCCGTGCAACACCACGGATTCAGTTGTTCAAATTAACAGTCAGCTTTTTGAAGGAGAAACCAAACTTATATCCCGAGGACTCAAAGTTTGCCCCAAACCGAGAAAGGCTGACCCACAACAACTATCTTTGGATCTGGAAGCTTTCTTCCGACGTTTAA